CAAAGTGGGTGTAGAAGGTGTTGAGGTCATCCAGCAGGCTGTCTGTGGAGCTGATGATGCTGGTGGTAGTCCTGTAGTCCATGATGTGCTGCAGGTCTTGCTACATCCGTCCGGAGTCAGCAGTAGAATAGAAGCCACTCAGCTTCTCTCTGTACTCTGGACTATAAGCCGCTACTTTTGTTGCTGCATGCCCACACCCTCGTCATGGAAAACACACGACAAAATGCATATCATACAGCTTTCAAGTTGCAGGCGATCGATCTAGCTGTCAAAATATGTCATGTTACAACGTGGACACCTGCAGCTATGCACAAAATGTTTTTTCGTCTTACATTTAGTGGGTGCGGCTTATAGTCCAGAAATTATGGTACTCAATCTGTACTTCGCAGCTTTGTACTCCGTCTCATTGCCTGATCTAAATGCAAGAGAACAAGCATGTAGCATGTGGTGTACCTGACTGTTTATCCAGGGCTTCTGGTTGGGGAACCTCCTGACTTGTATGGTGGGCACAATGTTGTCAATAAGGTACTAATGTACCCGGTCACATACTCAGCATAGTCCTGTATGCTGACAGAAAAGTCCTCCGAGGTGGCTGCAGCTTTAATCACATCCCAGTCTGTCTGGGCGAAACAGTCCTGCAGGGTGCCTTCAGTCTCTGGGGTCCAATGTTTAACTGACTTGGTGACAGGGTTTGTTTGTTTCAGTCTTTGTCTGTAGGCTGGATACATAAACAAAGAGATGTAGTCTGAGTGTCCAAAGTGGGGGGCGGGGTTCAGTCCTACATGCGCCTTGTATGTTACTGTAAATGTGGTCCAGTGTATTCTTATCACAGGTGGGAATGTCCACATATAATATTTGGGGAATAGAGCCCGTAGATTGCACTGGTTAAAGTCACCAGTGATGATAAAGACAGCATCAGGGTGAGCTGTCTCTACTGTGCTGATGATGTCGTGGAGCTTTCTGAGAGCAGCCGTGGGATTAGCTCTTGGGCTAACATACACGCTAACCAAAAACGTGCTGCTATATTCTCTTGGCAGATAATAGGGACGGCATTTCAGGACTAAAAACTCCATGTCTGGTGAGCAATGCTTATGAACACTCCATACCACAATTTGTTGATAAACACACACACACCTCCCCCTTTGGTCTTACCAGAAGCTGGTGTCTGGTCTCCTTGATGCATGGTGTGGGTTTGTAGCTGAGTGGAGGATTCTGGGACTGTTGCGTGTGAACGTGGTGTGGACCCCAGAACCATAACAGGGACTTTGTCTGACAGCCAGGTCTCTGTGAAAATTAGTGTGCAGCACTGTCTTATTTTCCGTTGCGCTGTAATCCTGGCTCTTAGCTTGTCCAGCTTGTTTTCCAGAGATTGCACATTAGGTAGTAAAAGGCTGGGTAGCCGTGGTCGGCTAGCGTGAGTTTTTAGCCTAGCATGGAGCAGTGTGTAGCTTGTATTTGCAGCATGTTACATGTGGATGGGAACAAACAATAAAAACAGCAAAAGTGTGAGGCTGCATAGAATCAAGGAAAATATTAAGTAAGTTTGCACTGAGTTTCATTTCACTCCAGTGAAGGTGCATAAGGATAAACCATAAAAAACTTTATGAAAAAGGCTAAAGATGGGAAAGGAGCAGTGTGAGCTTTTGTACCCAATTTTCTTTTAAAGAGGATGCAAATTCGATTTTACTGCCAAACCACATATGCAAGGGTTTCCCTCTTAAATCTTATGATTAAACTACTTAATAATGGATAATAAAAGCAATACAGTGGAACCTCGGTTTTTGTATGCCCTACTTTTCATATGATTCGGTTTTTGATGACTTTTGTCCTACTTTCTAGGGGTCAGCAAAGCTGCATATGCAGCTCGCTACTCTGCTCATGCCCAACGTCTGCAGCCTCTATTTTGCATACTGATAATACATCAGTTATTCAGATCAGTACTGAACATGTAACAGAGAATGAAGAGTTCAGTAACAGCAGTTAACAAGTTGCTGTCCAGTACAGTAGAACTACAATAATGACACAACATGCTTGTTCTTATATTGAACTGTCTGCATAATAAAAGCCACATCTCTACGCTGCTTTCAGGACACACACACACAGAAAGAACTAACTGTAGGCTATATAATGGTTGAAGTAGTGATCATATTGTGTTACTGCTGTCCTGTTTTTACTTATTTCCTTAGTATTTCTGTGCTTGTGAGAGCCCTCAACACTCACCCTGACCTTATCCATTAGCAATGCACGTCTAAATCTCAACTTAATTCTGACCCTAGCAGTCCTAACTGACAATCAGCCAATGATGCTGTGACACTGGATCAACGTGTCCTCACAAAGACAGAGCTATAACTGGAGGTACAAACCTGGTGAGTACAGGAGCGCACACGCATGCACGCACACACACACACACACACACAGGCTTAAGTCTGCTGTGAGTCAGGCATAAGCGTGCGTGTGTGTATGTGTGTGCAAGCGCACATGTTCTCTTGTACTCACCACACCACACAGATGCTTACTCATAGCAACTTTCCTCTTCTTTTTCTTACCCTTCTTAGTTCACTAGCAGACCTCTGTATTTTTTTACCCTACATTTGCCCTGTACGTTCATTCAGCCTTTAGCTCACTAGTCCAGAATCACACTATAGCTCATCTATATCTCAGTGGTTTGTATGTCACTGCATGAAATGGCTTAATTAGCTGCACATGGATTAAAACTTTTATACTATTCAAATGATAGGAATGATGATTCAATGGCATTAGGTAGCTCAGGCCAAATGAGTAAACCTACGCTGGAAAGTCATGAATTTCTCTTTTGGAAATAACTAGCCTATTTACACTTTTGGCTACAGAATTTTAATTAAATACCAGTTATATGCACCTCACACCTTGCACTGCTCTCATACACTCGCAAAACAAAAAGTAATGGCACTCTTTGCAGTTTTCTGCATAAATCAGTCATGGAATGTAATCTGATCTTCAACAAAGCCACAAATATCCATCCACCATCTATACCGTTTAGTCCCAAACAAGGTCGCTGAAGCAAATTCCAGCTGGCGAGAGGCAGGGTACACCCTGGACAGGACGGCAGTCTGTCACAGGGCTGACATGCAGACAAACAACCACACACACGCACAGGCGATTTAGAGACACCACTCAACCTAAGCCGCATGTCTTTGGACTGTGGGAGGAAGCCAGAGTACCTGGAGAAAACTGTTGCATCCGGTACTTTTAACCACGCTAACTCTGAGAGACGAAGCAGTCCAAGTAACTTCAAAACAGTGCTGATTTATTCAATGAACACAGGTAAAAATTAACATTACACACTCAGGTATTTTGCACCTCCAACATGCACGTAGGCAGCTGAAAGATGAAAGACCCTGAACCACAACAGGCCTATACATTATATCACTTTGGGCTAACCCCATTCTACTCAGAGAGAGACACCAAACCGTGACGTGTCCCTGGTACCAGCTTTGCAGCTGGCCAGAGCAGTAGTCAAAGCATGAGGAAAATCAATGTGTGAATGTCTGTTGATTATGTGGTGTGTAGCTAAAACATTCTGTGTGTGTGTGTGTTTGCCCTGCGATGGATTGGCGATCTGTCCAGGGTGTACCCCGCCTTCGCCCGATTGCCGGCTGGGCCCATGACCCCGTTCAGGGGCTAAGCGGTAGAAAATGGATGGATGGATCCTGTCTTCTACTTCAACAGTCATCAACTTTCTATCTAGTTATCCTTGACCATAAGCAACCTGAACTCATGAGAATGACTAAGCATTTAACAGCCTGAGCTAGACATCCTGTCTACTCTAAACATTTCTAATACATCAAGTATCTAACCAATATCTATCTGACTAAAAATACCTAACAGAACCCAAAGACATGCAAACTCTGCACAGAAAGGTCATGAACCTGGAACCTTCTTGCTGTGAGGCAACAGTGCTAACCACCACGCCACAATGTTCAGGGGGAATTTTGGACCATTCTTCCTCACAGAACTACTTCAACTCAGCCATATTCTTAGGACATCTGGTGTGAACAGCTCTCTTGAGGTCATTCCACATTTTCTATTGGGTTGAGGTCTGGGCTCTGACTGGACCACTCCAAAAGGTGGATTTTGTGTCTTTGAAGCTATTCTGTTGTGTAGATTTACTTTGATGTTTAGGGTCATTGTCCTGCTGCATCACCCAGCTTGTTCTTTCCCAGCAGTGTTGTGGAGTGTCAGGGTTGTCTTTGGCAAACTTCAGGCATACGGCAATGTTGTTTTTGGAGAGCAGTGGCTTTCTCTGTGGTGTCTTGCCATTAATACCATGTCTGTTCAGTATTTTGCACATGGCTCACTTATGATCAGAGATGGTACCTCACTGTTTTATCAGCTTAGAAATATTGTTTGTTGATATTTGTGACTTTGGTAAAGATCAGATCACATTTGATGACCAATTTATGCAGAAAACCAGGAGGCTGCAAACAGTGCCATTACTTTTTCTTTGAACTGTCAGGTCTTCTGTGGCTTTCAGACTTTATAAATCACATCAGAGAGTTGATTTTTATCTGCTCTGTCTTCTCACAAAGTTCAAGGACTACATCTACAACCTGAACTTCTGTCAGCTCTAGTGGTGAAATTGGTGTAAATATTTATGTAGCTGTAGGCTATTCTTGCTATGAAAACTCAAATCCCCCCTATGGTCAATAAAGTCACCTTATCTTTCATGATCTAAGACAGTTGTTGCGACTGGTTGCATAACTTCATGCAGAGTGAGCCTCAAATTTTCCCCTTTCTTCCATTACAAACCTCATCATACTGGCCTGTCCGAGCTTGAGCAATACGTACTCTACACACCTGACGAAAGTGAAAGTATTAATGGGTAACTAAGGCTACCAGCTGCACGCACATGTAGGAACACACACACAGGCAGGAGCGCACCTGTGTGTTCACTGGAAAGTTTGAGAAATCAAATCTACATCCAGGAGCGCACGGACACACACACAAAAGTACACACGCACCTCGAAAGTTCCTTTCGCTCCGGATCCCGGGATGCGTCAAGCCTGTATCCCTTCAGTGGTGCCACGTTGTAATGATCCCTTGATAAATTACGATAAAGGTCGACTCGATGTGAATCAAGTCATCAAACAAAGCCTATAAAATCACTGAGGGAAGTCATTACCCTCTCCGTCTACCCACACAGTTTCTGTGCGCTCAGCCTGCGTGTGCCGCCAAGTGCGCAACAGGCTGGCCTACAGCTCCTTTCAGTCAATTTCAACCCGCAGACACGCACACAAAAACTCACTGCTTTCAAAATAAAAGCGCACACATTTCTGGTGCGTCCTTACATACCTTGCAATACTCTCTCTCTCTCTCTCACACACACACACACACATTTCTCCTTTTGTCTAAATTACACTAATGTACCATTAGATTTACATGAGGAACCGCCCCTAAAACAAAAGGAAGCCTTTCACAAACGAGTCTGTATTTATTCATTTATGAGATACTCGCTCAAGGGGGATTTGTTGGGTTTTTCCTTTATAATATTAGTAATAGTAAGCTCTAGACCTTGGTTTCTAAAGTGTCCTGAGACGACTTTAGTTGTGATTTGGCGCTATACAAATAAAATTGAACGGAGCACGGTGGCGCAGTGGTTAGGATCGTTACCTCACAGCGAGAAGGTTCCAGGTTCGGGCCCTACCCGTGACCCATTCAGGGCCTAAGCGGTAGAAAATGGATGGATGTTCTAAGAAAATCAAAAACTTTTGTCACCTAAATTGAGACCAGTTTAAGTCACCATTTATTTATTTAAATTTATTTCTAAGAATGACATCAACTTTAACTGCAGTGTATTTATTTACCACAGCCTTAACTATACTGCTTTGTCATTCAGTATTGCAGGGCTACTTCTCTTTGGCAGTGAACACCGACTCTATTTGACAGAATCTGCTCTTTATCATCAGGTTTCACGTTGTCTGCAGGTGCAGTGACTTCACACCATGCTGCAAATGGCATGTTGTTTCACTTATGCAACTGCCATTTAATTTCTGGACATGCTGTGTCCCTGCAAGAAAAGTGTCTCATTGAGGACTTTACTTTCATAGTAGCGTGTTCACGGGAATTGTTGATGCTGTGGGTTGACAGTGGAGTTAAGTCACGGTGGAATCATGCTCTCCTCCCCAGCAGATAACAGATACTACCTGGACTCAAAAGACATTTCTGTGCTGATCTTGTGCTGTGATAGCCTGTCACATACTCAGAGCCGTTCTGAAGCATATTAATCTATAAACACATCACAAATGCCTATATCACAGCTCTGTGGAGTGTAGCTGACTAACTGGGCATATATTCACACCAAACCTCTCAGGGCCAAACTGTGGCCACAATCCCACAATCACTTGTCACAGCTGCTGTGCTCAGAGGGGAAAAGCCCACAGGAGAGTATGGTGGGGAGTTTTGGGATGATTTCCATTTAGTCATAGGATGTATTTTAGCCAAACTATACTAAGATTATCTTGTGCTTTTTAAGAAAGAGAATAGTCAAAAACGAGTTACAGTACGAGTTGCACACAAAATTTTAAAAAGCAAGATATTGCTGAAATCATATAAAAACAGGTTGTGCCAGCTGTGTCAAAGGAAAAAGGTGGGGTGGCAGAGAAGATAGTGGACTATACAGGTGAGTGGACAGCTAAGTATGATTTGACACCTCACAGGAGATGGTGGACCCGGTGTGCAGTCAAATAGTGTGACACTTTACACACAACAGATCTGTATAACAGAGGAAACCTTCTTGGGAGAGGAGGCAACAGGTTTGCCCAAAGCATTAGCAGAGAAAACCAGCTCAGCATAACATTCCTCTTCTGTGTGCACGAAAAAGGTAAAACTGGGCTCTGCAAGGCTAGTCAAATAATTCTCAAATAATTTGTCAGGGCTCTGGGAATCAGAAATTCATCCAATAAAGTTTTAAACCCAAGCTCGACAATCAGTGTCAAACAGTCCAGAGGTTAAAAAACAAACAAACAAACAAAAAACAACAACACAGAAATCCAGAGATGAGCACCAGTTCAGACATACACAGGATCAGGTTAGGATTAACAGGCAAATGCCTGGAAAGTTCTGCAAACAGCAAGAGACAATCTGGCAGGACAGGATATATAAACAGTAACTAGGAACAGGTGAAAATAATGACATAGCCAATGAGTAGAGTGAAAATGGAGCAAGGCCTGGGAAAGGAAGTGTCCAAATGAAAGCCAAAAACAGGAAATCATAAAACTTGTTTGAATCATCTTTATTCATGAAATGTTTCTGAAACAGTTTCTCCACAAACTATGGTTTAAAAATAATCATAGAATCTGTATCAGAGTATCTGAGTTGTGTAAATAACAATTAGACAATAGTATCACAAAATTTTATTAGTATAGTTCAGGTGTGGGTTTTTGTTTTATGTGTTGTTCTCCAAACATCAGAATATGTTAATTTGACCTCTGTTTATTGCCTGTGTTTAGTAAAGTAGTACACAGAAAGAAGAGGGAGTGACCTCAGGAAGAGAGAAAGAGCAGAGCTCCCTCAGACAGGATCCTTCTTCCACTTCAAGTCTGATTAGCTGTCAGCACATGTTTAAAACAGGGTCACTGTACTGCCCTATTATGTATGAGTTTGACAATCACTGAACTCTCCAGTCTAGTTTTGTTTATGCCGAATTGTTTGTGCATTACTTCCCCTTCAGCAGCTTCTAGGTCACTGAGGATACTGTTAGGTATTTTTAGTCAGATAGACATTGGTTATCCTTGAACATAAACAACCTGGAGTACCCCATGGGAATGACTAAGCATTTAACAGCCTGAGCTAAACATCCTATCTCCACTAAACATTTCTAATACAACAAGTACCTAACCAATATCTATCTGACTAAAAATACCTAACAATTCCC